CCCGAAATCCCCGACAACGTGGGAGATTGGCTCCGGGGCGTCTACCGCTTCGCCACCGACCGGAATGACTTCCGGAGGTAACGGAGCCGCAGCCCGGCCCCAGCCCTCCCTCCGCGCCCGAGCACAGAGCCCGCCGCAGTGCCTGGGCCCGGGCTGGCCCTCCCGGGGCCTAGACCGCCCGCATCCAGGCCTCTTCGTGACGGCCGTGGTCTGCCGAGGGCCTTGCTCCGAGAGCTGCGGTGCGGCAGAAGCCATGTTTTCAGTTCCCCGGTTGTCTGGAGAGTGTCACCCTGACCGCGGGTGGGACGTAGACCCGGGAAGAGGCGGCGCCAGCACCCAAACGGGGTGTGCGGCCCCCGATGAGTGCTTCATTGGTCTTTGCATCTGACCCTCTCTTATTAGACAGACACTCAAGTGTTTGCCTCTGGGAGGTTTTTCCAGGTGGTGGCGGTGGGACTCTGACCACAAGATTAATAGAGTAATTCTTTTTCCAGGAACTTGATCCTCAACTTGGGACTTTTCGCTGCAGGAGTTTGGCTGGCCAGGAATTTGAGTGACATTGACTTAATGGCACCTCAGCCAGGGGTGTAGTCAGATAGGTAAGCAGGTAGCCACTGTCTGTGTGTCATGAGAGGCAGGGAGAAGCCATCGTTTTATCAACTATCCACAAAATGGCGGGGAGAGATTTGATGTAAAACCTTTGGCAGCTGCCTAGTTACGTATGTTTCCATGTTAGAAGGAATCTGAGTCTACCCATTTCCTTGCGGTGCGTTTCCATTTCTGCTTTTACATGTCACCTCCTGTTCTGTTGTCTGATTGCAGACACATGGAACCCGAGATGTACTTGAACCTCCAAACACAGAGCTTCCAATCTGTGACCATCACAAGACTTTCCCTGATAGCAGCCGAAGTTTGATTCACATGGCTACCTTCCCTGCCTGCTTCCCTTCGCCGGGTCTACGCAGAATTCATTCTCTGGTCCGCAGTCAGGCTTCAGCTCAAGTGTTGTCCTCTGTTTTGTAAAGTCCTGTACATGATTCCTAAGTTTCGGTAGAGAGTGATCTTTGCTCTTTTCTTGAGGAATAACCTGATGGTATTTTAACAATTATCTGAAATAAAGACTGCACACAGAGACAGCCATTTTTTGTTTTTTTAATAAGAAACTTCAGCTTACAAAAACAAGGTGTAAAAAGTTGATTTACAAAAATCATAAAAACATGATTTACATTTCACAGACGAGATAGGAACAAGCCCAAACACGGTTGTGGCTTGCTTCATAGTAAAAGAAAAAAGGAAATGGAAACTGTAGCCACCACTCACTGATGTTAACTAGCCTGAAGCTTACTGAGGAATTTCCACTTTTGAGCGTTACTAGGGGAAGAATCCTTTCCGTGTTGCACAGCATGTTAATGCTCCCGGTGGGTTCCCAGGCACCAGGGAGGCATTGTTGCTGTAAGAGAATGGGGTTTATTGGTGGAAAGGGCAGTGATCGGCAGGTGGAGGCTAGGTGTTAAGTAAGCCTGGGCGATGGGCACTGAAGTGAGCATCTGTCTCCTTGAGAAAACGGCTTCCTGCACAAGGAAATGTGTTTTCTGACACTGAAACTCAGTCCTGTCGCTGCCCAGGAGCTTGGAGTCTTTGGAAATGGGGTCTGTAATGAGCTGGCTGGAAGACTCATGGAGGAGAGATGTGGAGATAGCGACACGTTCCCCTTGACAACCTTTTCCTAGTTGATTTACTTTACTAGGGATTTAAAAAATACTGCTTTTCTGCCAAGTCTCTTAATGGAACTGGTATGGGATAAGGGAATGAATGGGAAAGGCAGGTCAGCGTAAATGTACCGCAGTGGTCTAATGATTATGGTTGACAGATGTTGTCTCTAGCAACCTGTTCACTAAAAGTAAATAAGACCAAATAATTCCTCTTGACCCTGCTGGCATAAATCTTATTAAGAAAGCTGTTTTGAGAATTAGATTTTTAATATATTTTCTTTTAAAAAGCACTCTTCCCTTGTATTAACTAGTAGGTCCCATTTGTTAAAAGGAGGGAGTTTGAGCCAGTGAATTCAGGGCTACGGCTGGCTTAACATGAAACCTTGAACCTTTAAGAGTCTACATTGGGACCACAAAGGATTTGATAGATTTATATCTTACCAGGTGTTAAGATGAGGAAGGGTCACATATATGAGAGCAAGGCTTAAATTTGAAGCCATCAACCCCAAAATGGTGACCAGGAAGGAAACTTTTGTGCCACAGCATAGGTCTAAGCCCCTTCCCACCTGTGTCAGGCCACTGCTAAGACCAGTATGAGCACCTCCTGTTCTTTATAACAATGAAACTTACATCCTTGGAGTCTGCTACTAGATCTCATAATTGTGAACAGTTCTATTTCATAAATGTTTCCAAGTTAAAAATCAAAACCTAGCCAGGCTGGTGTGGCTCAGTGGTTGAGCATCGGCCTATGAATCAGGAGGTCAGTTTGGTTCCTGATCAGCGCACATGCCCAGTTTCGAGCTTAATCCTCAGTAGGGGGGCGTGCAGGAGGCAGCAGATCAATGCTTCTCTCTCATCATTGATGTTTCTATCTCTCCCCCTCCCTCTCTCTGAAATCAATGTTTTTAAAAAATCAAAAGCCAGTAAAATTAAGATATGGTAGCTTTCAAAAGCATTGAAATTTCACTCAATTTGATGTCTTCTATTGTATGTCAATTGAAAGTAAACTTATTTTTAAAAATGTTTTAGCTTCAAGTAATAGTGTTCACTGTTGGTTGTTTTGTAAAGCCATATGCTGATAAGGTGAAGTTTGATTTAAACTGGCTTAATTACTCAAAGTGATAAGACTAGCAAATAAAGGTACCAAATATACAATTTCAAAAATCGAGGTGAGTAATCAATCATTCTATGAATGAAAGTGCTGCTTTCACCATTCCAACACATAGCATTTTCCCCAAAGGAAATCAGGTTTACATCCTGTCAGTTTTCAGCCCTGGCTAATAACACAGTACAGTGGGGCCTTGACTTACGAGTTTAATTCGTTCGGAGACCGAGCTCGTTAAGGAGATCGTTAACTCAAATTACTAGATCAACTTGATGCAAAAAATCGGCTGAGAGACAGCTGGTATCTCAAGAAACTCGTTAGTCGGGACACTTGTAAGTCAAGGTCCCACTGTACTATGAAAATCTCTTACACTTCTTACTTAGATTTTAAATGGAAACTTGCCAGTAGAGTAAGTATGGAAAGAGTCTACAAAAATGACCATTTACCTCAATGCTATAGTAGCTATGTGTACTTAGGGCAATGTGTGGATTGAATGAGTGCACAGTGGTTAAAGTCAAAGCCCTACACCAGGAGAATGGTTAACTTAAATGTGAAAGATATAAACTCACAGTCATATTTGGAAGGCGCTGTCGGCAGTAGTGCTGACTTGAAAGAATCCGAGCCACCGAGGAGATACATAGTTGCCTGGTAAAAAATTAAGTGGCCATGGGAGGTTTTACTCCAAAGATAGAACCTCCTCACCTAATTAAGCCAGTAGTTAAGTGGAGAGACCCAATTATTAAATGTGCTTTGAGTGGTGAGCTTTTTAAACACCCTTTGGTGAAGTCTCATGAGCTCAGTGGAAACCTTAAGGGCAGAGGAAAAGGACATGCTGTAAACAGCACCCAGGTGAGCAGGCTGGGTCTCACCTTCCACAGCCACTCGGCACCATCCCAGTCACCTGTGGGGAAAGAGGGCTGTGGCAGGTTCTGTAAGCCTTCTCTTTTGCAAATTACACAGTGCACTGGCTTGCCTTACAACCTAAATCAAAGGTTCACATACAGGGGACTGTTCTACACTGCTTTCTGAAATTTTCTGCAAAAGAAATTTAGAATTAATGAAGGTAGTACTTCAAGGGACCCCTTTTTGTTTGACTCCTACCATAAGCTGCCCAGCATTAGAAAAACAAAAAGGCCTTTTCTGAACATTTGTGCTCTCCCAACCAGCTGGAAAAGCAACCTTCCGCTCCTAAGATATAACCCAGATAGGGGAATAGTACATGGTTAAGAAGGGGTGGCCCTCCCAGCCTGATTGAAAAGGCTTGAGTTAACGTTTTGAACATAAAAGGGGTGGTGAAAAAGAATGGGATACACAGTCTGCCTTGAAAAGCAGACATTTCGTGAATAATCACAAATATTTTGAACATTACAGTAAAATTTCAGATCTTGCTGGTAAGAACAATTTGCTTTCACACATGAGACATGAAACACTTTTAAAAAGTCTGATACCAAATGTCCTTTACACTATACAGACCAATATGTCACTTGACAAGGATTCCTTTCCCTTAATCTTTTCAATCCCATGCAAACCATAATTGGGTACAAGGCACCAAATTTTATGAATTATATAAAATTAGTTCACAAAGCTTTATCAGTAAGAAAACAAACTCCATTTCTCCTTCCCTGCCTGCCCACCCACATCCCACCCTCCACACCCGACCAGTTTTCCTTCTGCACTACTGTCGGCCTCTCTCAGGCTTATGCTGGGGCCTCTCGGGCCATGCCCACTGCCAGCCAACTCCCCCCATGAGTTCTTGCAATAGGACAGAACTGTAAGCCAGAGAAGGGAACTCAGACGCTCACTTACTAGAAGCCTTGTCATTAAAAACAAAAATAAACTCTGCTATTGAGTCCATAGGACACATGAACACTTGTACAGTTTCCAATTTTATCCATAACATTGAAAGAGACATCTGGAAATTCTCTATGGTGTGGCACCACCCCCCTCAGTCTGAGGGGCTGGATCAAAGCTGGCAGGAGCTCTGCCCACCATTTAATAGAGCTTGTTTCTAGCTGTTGAGGGCATTCCTAATCTTTTATACGCTAGTATGAATGCTCATCTCCGAGGCAACCACAAGTATGAAGGTCAAGCTAGACTGAGGTAAAAATCCTTTCTGAGGGCCAGGGTGCATCCGTCTTGGCTGGCTACAACAGAAAGTAAACACACCAGCCAACTGCGAAGGGCTCCTGGAACAGGATGCTGACTACTTGTCGGGGGAGAGCAGGTCCGCACGGTTCAGTTAAGAAAACTTGGGTTTGATTTGGCAGCATCTAGTCAACTTCTACCTGGTTCTTATTTTCTTCTCTTTTAGAATGTTTCAATTTAAAGATGCAACTAAGAAATTCGTCTACTTCCAATATGTAAATAAATTAAAGGCAAAGGGACAGTTCCCTCACAACAGCCGTTGACTTCTGTAGCAGGGAACTCTTTAATAAAAATCTTCATAAATACTAACTTCTCAATAGCGTCTAGTGTTGCTGCCTCTGGTACCTGAGGAGTCTGCGACTGCAGGGGCACCTCCATGAATATGCAGCTCAGTGAGGATTCTGATATGGGTGTCTATTCCAACTCACTTTGAACAATTTTGTCAATTTGATACAGGGGTGTTCAGCTAAGGTAAGCCCTTATTTTACAGTTTTAATCTGCTTAATATGCCTTACAATATTTGGTATAAAACTATTTCTAAAAATTAAATTTGAAGATCTTTTAATTTTCCATTAAATGTTCATTTTTTTCCTCAAATATTTCCCTCTGGACAGCCTGAGGGATGAAGTAGATGCTCTATTAGTTCTTCTCTATTTGTAAATTATCTTTTTCTAGAACAATAAATATAGCATTCAGTGAAAGATGAGGCACAATTTATATTTTCCTTTTCTTTTTACTCTCCCAGATTGTTTTTAGTTAATGGGCTTTTCTATTGCCACAAAAAGTCATACCAATCATTCCGACTTAAAATGTGGATCTGGAGAGTATAGCTTCACATCAGAGCCTCTGGCAGCGTATGCAGCTGTGACACTTTAAAACAGTGTCCAGGAGGTGAGCCCAGGCCAAGCTTATACAAAGAAGCCTGCAGCAGACAATATAAACCAAACAGCATAAAAAAATGCCATACGCTATCGCTTCCAAATAAAAGCTAAATATTACAGAAACCTCACAGTGTTGGAAAAAGCAAGTGTAATTTAAAATATAGGAGCTCTCCCTTTCTTAGCAGGGTGAGCCATTTTCTTTCTGAATTTCCTCCATGTTTCAGTGCTGTCTGGCAGGTCCTAGGGGAGAGTTGATCTCTTTTAAAAGAGGTAAACAGCAAATGCTCCAGATCTGCTCCAGAATGTGGCTCGTCAGTAGCGCTAACGCCACAACCCTTATTTGTTACCCTCTCTTTTCTCAGCTTCCCATCCCTCCCCAAACTCCCTTCCATATCTACTCCCTTCAAGTGACAACTCTACTTCTACCTGAATTGAAATGTTTATATGACATACTCAGTCAAAAGATGAGCATTCATACGACAAGCTGAGGCAGCCTACAGCAATCCCACAAGAGTTTCGGTTTGCATTCACTTGTACTGCTGAGTCTTAGGTGAAGGATTAGGAAGGGAAGTTCAGTGGTACCTGATGAGGAGGAAGGTCTCCACCTGGGCTATTTCATTCCACTTAGAAACTGACCCCATGTAGAAAGGTCTCTTTTGCTAGCACTGGAGTAAAGGCCCCGGCACCCTTGCTTTCTCTGGTGGACTCTGTGGCTGGGTAAAGAAACAGTAAGGATCAGATCTGGGAGGAAACAAGCCAGAGCCACCAGCAGTAAACTCTCCAGACATATGGGGGACAGCTTCCTAAGCCCTTGGAAAGCAAAATTTCCCAAAATTTGTGGTGAACAGTAATGTTCTAGCCCTCCAGGAGCAAGAAAGAAGCTGCGAGCTAAGAAAAGCTACATGCTGCACCGGGTGAGATCAGGTGACAGGCGTTCAGATAAGCCCTGGACCACTGGCTATTAAACTAAACCCTAGACCAGTAGTTCTTAACCTGGGCTGCACATTAGAGTCACCTGGGAATCTTTTTAAAATCCTGACTTCTGGGCCTCACCCCATAACAAAGAAACAGAATTTCCGGAGGACAAGGCCCAGAAATCAGGATTTTAAAAAGATTCCCAGGTGACTCTAACGTGCAGCCCAGGTTGAGAACCACTGTCCTAGACCTTGACCTGAACCAGGGACTCACTACCGGACTGAGTGGCCAGGAGTGTCCTTAGGCTACCAGAACATGTCCCGAGCCAGTTTACTGCTTCCCTATGTGAACCTCTCCTTTAGAATGAAGGGATGTTCATGCCAGTCTCAGAAGCCCCAGGGAAGGTATGACAGGTGAAAAACCTCCCATTTTGCATGGGGAAATTTGCTCCGTGCATCTCATTCCACTCTTTAAGTCTGCAAGTTTTCAACCCCTGAAGATAACTTCCTTTGTAGGAATAATTCCTTAGACTTCACCTGCTGCCTCAGAACCAATCCCATCAGGAAAGCTGCTAGCCCAGGGCCCCTCATGTGCTTTGCCCTGGACTGCTTACATCAGGAGGATTCTTCTGGTGCTGCAAGGAGGCCCGATGAGCAGGGGAATCACATAATGGAAAGAAAACACGGCTGCTCTCCTGGCTGGATGTGATTAGCTTACTCCCTTTTTGCTCTCCCCAGATCCCTCTATATTCAGAAGTAACTGATGAAGCTTCATACAAGTTACTACTTTTGATTTGTTTTATCAAAGGAGGGACTTTCCAAATCCATTCAAAACAAAGTGACTACATATTTTATGATAGCATATGAGACACCTGCTACCTCTGCTCTAGACCCAGTAAGGCAAACCCAGTAACCTGTTCCTGCAGTAAACCTCATTTCCTATCAGGAAAGATGTACCGACACCAATAGTTTAAAAGCAAGCCAGTCTGTGATCTGTGCCTCCCTTTCAGGGGAAGGTCCGTGGTCTGCCCTCGTGGTTGTTGCTGGTCTGCACCTGAGCTTGGAGGTGTGTTTCGGGGGTTTTTGCGTGGCCCCGAACTGTTCTTTGAGTGTAAAAGAGGATGTAGGCTTGAGTTTTGCACACGTCCTCGACATTGCATACATTCAGCTTTGAGTCATTGCAGTGGACCCAAAAACCTAGGAAACCAAAGGAGAGAAAGAGTAAATGACTACCAACTTACATTTCCAGTCAGCAGGCAAAACCAGGAGATGAGGAAAGGGACAGAGAAGTGTGAATAGAGCCAACCCTTGACTATAGGTGGTGGTGGTGTGGAGTGCAGGGGAGACAAGTAAATGAAACCAAGAGACTTCCCTGTACCCACTAGCTTTAACCCCACCAAACCCCACAATACTGCTTACAATATCATCTGACTGGAATTTTTATCATTATTTTAGTCAGATGTTTTCATTCCCCATTAGGGCCTTCCACAAAGACAGCCAAGAGACTGAGGGCGAAGAGAGGGGAAAAGGAGGATGATGAAAGGGGATATGTAAATAGAGAGGCGTGATAAAGGAACATTTAGAAGGAATAAAAAGGTTTTTGTTCATAGGCTCACTCTGGCTGCCCTAAGGGCTGAGGGGTTCAAGATCAGTACACTGCTGAAAAGACCCCGCAGCGCACCTGCCCCAGCACAGTAGATGGGAGGCTCTGCCCTCGGGATAAGGACTGAAAACTTGGGAGGGGTCCCTGTATCCCCACACCTCCCATATAAGGGATGTAATAAGGATATAGTGAATACTCAGAAAATGTCCTCAACTTTATTATAAGCCGAGGCTAGTGAGATTCATGCAATACCTCCATGAGGCTAGATGGGTCATATAATTTCTGCATAACCAAAGAGGAAACAGGTCTGCAGCAGAAGTATTAATAATAATGATAAACTCTAACATTGAGCATAATGTGCTAGGCACCATGCTAATAAGCACTTTCACATGTGTCAGTTCCTGTTAATTTTCAGAATAATCTCATGTTATTATTTAGTGATTTATCAAAAATTTGAATTAAACTTCCATAATTCTTCCAACTGGATTTACATGTATGTATTATCCTACTAGAGATGAAAAAGAAAGCAATGAAATGTGGACAGACCACCCTTTTCCGTGTCCCCCACCCTACAGAGTAAAGCGCACGCACCTCCCTCTGTGTTGTAGCAATAGGCTGTGTAGTGTCCTGAGCCAAACCCTTTCCCGTGATGCATGACCACTGCGGAGAGATCATAGGCAAAGGTCTCTTTGTCAAGAGAGGAGAGCATGTCCCTGCAGCAGTAAGGTTCCATGGTTAATACCTGGTCAAAGACGACATGGACCCCAATCTTCTCTCGATGATTACGGCCAGACCACCTAGAACATAGATATAAACTTATCAGTAAAAGGTGGCATAAGTGATCATAGATAGAGGTAGGCAGAACTGAGAAAACTTAACCTTCAGCTTTGGTTTTCACATTAACAGAACAGTAGTAATTACTGTCCACATATATTTCTGGTGAATGTTCCATGAGGTACTCTGAAGCTACAGATCCCTGAAGAAGCAATTCAGGCAAATAATCTTTTATAGTTTACTGCCTGCCCTTTTCACAGATTCTCTCATACATTATTCTGAAGATGACTCTATATAAGCCAAAGCGAGGGTAGAAAACCTTCAAGCACAGACACCTGGTGCAGGTTAGCCAATTAAAAGGGGCCATGAGAGCAGCAGCCCAGTCCTGCTGGGCCCCAACATCTTGTCTCACTGGGCATGACTCATTTAATCTCCACGGCAAGCACAAGGTCCCCAAGGAGCCTGCGTCCCCTCCCAACAGCAAAGACATTTGCCCTCACCATTTGCCTTTGAAGCAGCTGTTCCTACAGTTCACAGCCACGTGGGACGCCCGAGAGCAAGCTCACCTGAATCTTTTAAGGTGCAGCCGGAGGACCTGAGGTAGTCTGTAGATCATTAACTGCTTTCTAGCTTCACTCAGAACAAGGGGTTTTGGATTGGATTTTCGTCGTTTGCCTATATGGTTTGGGAAGGTATAAGACAGACTGTGAGGGATCTCATTCTCTCCTAGCTGTGGCAGACAATGACTTGCCACTCAATATGCATTCTTCTTATGTCTTAGTATTTGAACCTCAATTTTATTTGGGGCAGCTCTATGGCCCTCTGTGGGACTGCATTTCCCAGCCCCACATGTCTGCATGCTGTGCCCATGGGAGTTCTAGCCCAGATAAAAGGAGTGATTGTGTGGTACTCTTGGGATGGCAGCTTAAAGAAGGCTGACTCAGTTGTAGGATGCATCCTTTGTCCTCACCACTGTTTGCAACTGTTGTAATTGCCCTTGGACCATGAGGTAATTTTGAGGATGAAGATCTGAACTTAGGGAGTAAAGCTGAAAGATGGGAGGAGCTTGGATCCCCAATAACCATGCAAGCCCCGGAAGGTCCTTTGGACTTTATTATATAACAGAAGGGAAAAAATTACTTCTCATTTTAAGTTATTGTTATTTGATCTGACTTACCAGCAACTAAACCTAATCCTGATACTTCTACTTTCAAATGTTTGCCATCAGCAATTTCCAAAATTGGTATGGGTTTAGGATGGTACACTCCTGATGTCATGGGCTTATTAATGGAATATAACACAAGGTGACTGCAATAATATGCACAGAGGCACATGTTAGGGTTCTATGCCTTTACTAGTAAATATGTATTTATAACTTAAATTATGATGCACCATAATATAAACTTAAAGGCTTTTTGTTTTCATCAGAAAGGCCTAATTCTATTTCCTGTTCACAGCTAGTTGTATGCTATTGGACAAGTTATTCAAATTCTGAATCGCAGTTTGTTCTCCTGTAAAATGGGGAATGCTGCATGTATTTCAGGCTTTAAAAAAAGGTAAGAGGATACAGTATTACTAAAGGACAATGTATTTACACAGATTTTCCCCCTCCAGCATGATATGCGTGTGGCATATACAAATATTTAGAAAATGACCTTTTCTGGTTTTATATTTTTATGCTGAAACGTCTCTTGGATAAAGCACACTGTTGGACATGCTGGACAAATCACCCAGTCCACAGCAGAATCAGTGTTCAGACTTCAATTTTGTTTCTAAAGCCACTGTATTTTAGGATATGCATTTTTAGTTACAGCAAATAAACAATGGAAATAAAGTTCTCTTATTGTCCTTTAGAAACCTTCTCTATAACTATTTACTGATGACTGCTCTGCTATTAATTAAATCGGTGAATGGATGGGAATGTAAAATTAGTGGCCCACTTGTGCTGCTTGCCGATTGTCTCTGAGCTGTTGATATCATGGTCTCAGTGTCTGAAGAGCTTGGGATCTGATTCCAAGTCCTCTCTAGACCACTCGTGAAAGGTACCAAATCACAAGCAGATGACGTATCATGGAGCTTTCTGTGACAGTAGAACGTGGAGCTGTTGCTCCTCTAATAGACTGCCGCAGAATGCATGTGCCATCGCATTTAGTAGGGCTGGCGGTCATGATATGTGGAGGCATGAACAGAAAGAGAATTCAGGGCAGGGCCTGGGCTTATTTTACATTCCCATTCACCAGCAGATTTTAAAAATTATTGCAGCTCTGTCTGGTAACCCCGCAGTGACTGCCACTGTCAGCAGAGGGAGTGTGTGAGCTAAGATGAAGACCATATAGAATCTGGCTTTGTTTCCCTAAAATGAAATTCACAAAGAAAAAGAAATTACTGATTCAATTGAGATTGATCAGTTCTGTCTCCATTTGATTAAGCTGGCCACACAGAGAGGTAGAAAGCTGATATTTTGAAAATTCACAAGCAAAAGATCAATTCATTTCATCCCTTAACCATAGCTTTCCTTCCCTGCTATTATTTGAACTTGCCTAGAGAAATCCTGGTAAACTGGAACATCTGGAAACCAGAAAAATAACCCTTTCTTGCAAAAATAAATAAAAGTATTTCTTGCCTATCTATTATGTCTGAGAATGATGAAATTAAAGCTGTTAACATCCTTTTGCTGTTCCTTACCAGTAAAAGGCTTATGAATCAATATTAAAAAACAAAACTGATACTGCTCTAATAAGATTTAAGTCACTGCCTTTATATATAATGGGAAACAGGTCATGTGAGTCTACAGTTAACCAAGTACAGCATTTCAATTTTTATTTTAAAACAGCAAAATAACATCAAGTATTACTTTTGATTTTTGTCCTGATACTTCATAGAGAACAGGTTTCCCACAGGTTTGCTATTTTAAAAAAAACCATATGCAAATAATATATTAAGGTTTTTGTTCACAAGACTTGTATTATATGGCTGCAAGTTGATTTCTACATCTCTGTACAATCCATTAATTTTAGTTTCCAAATCCTTATATGCCAAAAACCCAAACATGAGCTTCTAAACATCTGCTCTGCATTTCCTCTGCATATGCTGAGTTAACAGAGTACTGAGCTTTAGTGTGGCAAGACAGGAGGGGCCCTGGATAAGATGCCCACATAACCACATGGAAAAGGTCCCACTTTTTTTCTTGTTGTTAATCCTCACCCGAGGATATTTTTCCATAGATTTTTAGGGAGAGTCAGAGAGGGAAAGACAGAAACATCGATGTGAGAGAAACACAACTGGTTGCCTCGTGCACAAGCCCTGAACAGGGCCTGGGCTGGAGAGGAGCCTGCAATCAAGGTACATGCCCTTGACTGGAATCGAACCTGGGACGCTTTGGTCCACAGGCCAACGCTCTATCCACTGAGCCAAACCGGCGAGGATGAGTTCCACTTTTAAATTAAAGCCACAAGCCCTGGCTGGGTGGCTCCGTTGGTTGGAGCACGGTCCCATACACCAAAATAGTTGCAGGTTTGATCCTTGTCGGGAGTGTACAGGAGGCAATCAATCAATGTCTCACATCAATGGTTCTCTCTTTCTCTCTCCCCCCCATCTATTTTTCGATCAATCAATAAAAAATATTCTCGGGTGAGGATTTAAAAAAATTAAACATTTTAAGTTAATGTCATGATAGAGAAATACTTCCTTTTGACGGCCTCCAAAATGCCAACCTTTCAAGCATGTGAAGAAACAAGTGCAGAATGTACTTCCAGAGAGCAATGCACCCTACGATTTGCTTCCTTGATCTTATTGTGCAGACCTGCACCACCACTCCTAACACTTTAAATCTACAAATTCAATACGAAAGTACACTTTTCTGATGCCACAGCCCTCCAACAGGCTATGCCACCTGAACTTAAATAAGATCTGTCAGATTCTACATTCATGAGTTTCATGAAGACCTCTGCAGTACTATGAAGTATTCACATTCTTAGAGTCCCCATTTCAGGATCCATACGTTCAAATGCCTCCCAAAATAACAGCTAATGTCAATCACAGCAGAAGTCAAAGGAGGCACCACTCCTAGGTTTGTTTAAAAATGTTTTTATTGATTTTTAGAGAGAGAAGAAGGGAGAAGGGAGAGAGAGAGAAACATCGATATAAGAGTGACACATAGATCAGCTGCCTTCTGCACACCCAGGCATGTGCCCTGACTGGAAATCGAACTGGCAACCTTGTGGTGCACAGGATCATGCCTAACCAATTGAGCCGTATCAGCCAGAACGGTTTTGTTTTTTAATATATAATGTCCATATGCTTATTTTCAGTAAAATGGGAAGAAAAAAATCTTTAAAACATGCCTTAGAACCACTCAATATTATCAGTGTTACTTTTGACTAAAAGGGGCAAAAAAAAGCACCTTAAACTGATATTCCAGTCGCACACCCCCACTCTCCCCTCCAGCCCCGGCACTCACTGTTACACTGGTCACAAGCGTAGACTCTCCCTTCCAGGGCCTCTGTCTCTGTGAACTTGGCCAGCATCTCAGTGAGCAGGCACTCTGTCTGATTCAAAGGGACAAGCCCCTTTTCTATGCAGTGATAGCGTTCAGGGAACTCCAGGGACAGATCCCAGAAGGGCTCAATGGTGTTGGATTTGTAATTGCATGATACACATGTGACCTAGAATGAAAAACATGACTTACAGGTTATATAACTCCATTCTTCCCACACATGTTTTTGCTTGCTTTATACAAGACACATAACTTGATCAAAACTAAGTATACAGTCTTAAAAAATATTTTATTTGTAATATTAAATAATATAACTTTAAGAGAGTTAGAGCATGCTACTTCTGTATATATTTCTAACTCTGTAATGCTAGCTGGAACTGGAAAACCATCCGGCACAGAGTTATTACCTACATCTTTCTCTCTTCTCACCCAAAGCATGCTCTGCCAGACGCAGTGGTGTGGTACAGACTGCAAGTTACCAGGGAATCAGTCTGAGACGGAGAATTTGCAGATTCCTGTCTGCTCTTCTTATCCTCACACTCCTTCCTCTTCCAGACTCTGCTCCTTCCATGCAATCCTAACTTGCCTCTCTTTTTGCCCCTGGTTCTTGCAGCATCCCTACACTGATCCCTGTGTCCACAGAGCCTCAAAGTACCTTGTGATCAGACCTCAGATGCACCTTTACAACCCTCCCAGATGTACCTTTGTCCTGATTCTTCATAGAGAACAATTTACTATTTTAAATTGTTCTCTACAATTTACTTTGACCCTCAAGGGATAAAGTAAATGCCCATAAATACTCCCCTTTCAAATGCTAAAAGCTTAAATAAACTTTCTCTTCCCATCCTACACATCATTCTTTTAAAACCCTAAATGCCAAGACACAAACCTCAGTAGCATAGTATAGAGGTTTTACTTGAATCTCTTAAGTTGCCCACCTTTTTAACTTTAAAAATTCTCTTTCTGCAGTGTCTCACAATAAATATTCTCTTTCTGCATATTCTCACAAAGCCTTATCTATGAGTCACTGCTTCTGTCTGTACATGGCTGAAGACCCAGTAAATGACAGGTAATGGGGAACAGGAGGGAGGCTCGTTTAGGCCTTTCGCATCCTCCTAGCCACTCCCCTTCCATATGTGTAAAGAATATCAAGTTAGTAAGAATACATACCCTTTCAAAATATCATGGAACCAGGGTTACAGGCAAACTGTTCAGTTTCCTAAAACTGATCAAAGATGTCATGCCAACCATGGATACTTAATTATAAAGAGAATATTAGATTATCCATATCATCATTAAAGGGTAAAGACATTCATTAAAAATGAAGCGATATAGCAAGTTACACTGAAAATCTGCCCAGAAAGAGGCAGGAGGCAAGTTCACCAACAAGGCCATCACAGGGTATAGTACAATGAAAGGTCCAATGGCCCCTCCATTATGAATAATTACAGCCATTGTTAGTTACCCCATAACCCAACCACCTGCAGGAGGCACTCACGAGAAGCCCAAATGCTAACGTACAAGCTTCCCTCCAATGTGATGGGTAGAGTTGGGGTTAGGATGGACACACACCCACCTGGCTGAGTAGCTGCCCGTGGAATATGGTGTTCACCACCTTTAAGACCTGTTTGGTGAGCTTCCTCTGGGAGAAGGGGATGAGGATCCGGCGCGTTGTGCCCTCCGACTCGAGTTCCTGCTGCACTTTGTGCAACAGCTCGCAGAGAAACTCCTGAGCGTCCTGCTGGTCGTAGCCGCGGAAGGCAGGGATCAGACTCCACACGGAGTGAAGCATGGCGAAGGGTGACACCAGGGCCCACTTCCCGGACCACATGACTCGGAAAAGGGTGTGCAGTTCATGGCAGAGGGAGATGTGCTTTGAGCCTGGCTCCTTGTTCTGGATGAGTTCGAGGCTCTTGGTGATGGAGGCGCCGCCATTCCAGAAGAGACCATCCCGCTCACAAGACTCAGCCCTGTGGCTCCTTGGCGACAGCTCGGTGGCTGAGCTGCTGGCCAGCCTGCCCGCGAGCGGGGCCTTCCCGTTGGCGGCTCTGTTCAAGAGCTGTTCGGTTTTGGAAGGGTCGAGGTTCAGGAAACACTCTCGGAACTTCTGGAGGTGGCTGAGCACCTGCAGGATGGAGTTCATGTAGCAGGTGTTGCCCAGGTTGCGCAGGC